CGCGTGATGATATGATAAATAAAGAAACGAAAATAAAAGTATAAGCAAGTATAAAAACGTATAAAAACGGAAAAAAGTATAAAAACATAAAAGTATAAACGGTTCTCGTTTCACTTTACAATAAGTAAAGAGTTTTTTTAATGACAGAGAAGAAAGTAGCAATCACATACGCAATTCCTGCGGTAATTATTTTGCCGCGAAATATATCACGTGCATGCGTTTAATATTTTAATTAAATTAAAAAATTAAAATTAAATGTGTAAGATACTTTGCTTTTGATAGCGTTCATCATGCAGCGAATAGATTGAAAGAAAAGTGGGCAGTCTCAGCACGTATTATCTTTGTTTGCTATTTAAAACTATCGTGATTGCGCTTAATTTCCATGCTGCCTGTTGAATTACACACTTTTCTGCAATATCAGTGTACTATAAATTAAAATCTTTCAGAGAATTTTTTGATGTCAATGAGACTATGTTATGTACAAAGTATGAATCGTATTTATTTTGTTAATTGAGAAAAGATAAGAGCTTTTTTTAAATGTTAAAATTAAAAACAGCTTGTTAGAGTCAAAATAAAAATATTTTTTGACAAATTCCATTTGGATTAGACTAAAAAATCCTATATCTTTTTCTTTAATTTTTTAAGATTGTACATATATGTATATATGTATATACATATAACATTTTGAATTTTAATTATTATTATTAAAGATATTTATTTTCATTGCAAGTGTTTTCTATGTCAAAAAATTGAATGGATGTTTTGGATGTTTTGTAAATTAAAATAATATATGTATAACCGAAAAGAAAAATCTTTCTCGCAAAAGCGACTTTACAGTATACATAAAATATTGTACAAAATTTTACATTTATATTTTACAATTATATTTTACAAAATATAATTGTAAAATATAACTGTAAAATAAAATAATAATGATTTATTAATCATATATTCTTTATATATTAAGTTGAAATCACGCGACATTCTATTTTGTTTTTTATGACACCCTTCATTTCTGCTGAATTAATTCAGTAAAAATGAAGGGTGTCATAAAGACATCTTACTTAATAAAAATTTTGTTACGCGAAAAAAATTTGCGATGTAAAGTGTCTAATTGCTTAATAAATGATGGAAGAAGGATACGTGGCCAAGATATGTGGCCGGATTGACATGTCGACCATAACGAGTAAGCCATTATGGATTATTGGGGTCACACCCGTTTGATGCCATCCTTGATTACTGTTGTATATGATTGGCAATAAACTGTCAGTCGCTCTTGATACAACCGAACCTCGTCGTTGATCGATCGAATCTGCTTCGAGCACTTTCAGAAGCCATTGCGACATTCTTCTCTCTCTCACTCTCACGAGAGTAGGAAACGTGAGAAATCGAGAGAGATCGTAAAATTACAATTATCTATTTTTGAGATTAAAAATTGACTTTGCGACTCCACAAATAAACTATTGTTTTGTTCTAAATCATTATAAAAAAAGATCAAATCTATTTTTTAATTTTTGAAAAATAGATGATTAACTTTATATATACTAGACTTATTTATCATATGATTGCAGTATTAAACTAATTTCATATAATGATTTATTTTATTATTGAAACTATCAGAATTATATTCTTAAATATCAGGTGCAATATCGTTACTCTAAGTATTGTGTGCTGCCATCTAAGAACGATCTGCAGTACTAAACTACGTCAATATCATATGTTATATGAGCATACACTACTGCACGCAAGTTTTTATTTTCATAAATTTGTATATATGTAAAATAAAATTAATAAATATATCATATCATGTTCGCTCGTTAAAAATTAATTGATATCATATTTTTATAACACATTTTATTACATTCCGTTTACTCCCGGAATGGCATGAGGTTCTTCATCTCTACAAATTGAAATATGACTGAACGGATTTCATTCCGACGAATAACTCATCCGAGAAATTCCAGAGTCTTAATTTTCCCAAACAGCTTCTATCCCGCGGTAGGAGCTCGAACTCTCCTTATTCGCCGAAGCAGTCGGATTATTTATATCGCAGCGTGCGTTTTTTCGACTAGAAAAATCAACGTCTTTCGTTGTTCGTTCCTTGCGAGACGAGACGAAGACAGGTACAAATCTACAGGACGACGTTTCCCGGGCGTGCTTATCCCTTTGACCTCGCGGCATTAATAACATTTCACGAAGATCTCCTCGAATTCCTCCCGGTCCCCCTTCCTTTCCCTCCCAAAGGACCCCCCGTCGAAGAGATCGCGTCACTGACGTGCATCCTTCGCGCGGCAATCCTGATGGATACGCGGGATTCGATGGGAACAAAAGGATGTTGGTTTAGCGTGGAAGGCGTGTTTGTTGTTTTGATGAGGTATAATGGGATGGATCCCGGGTGTTGATGCATAGCGCGTAGCGGGGTGCCGCGGGTTCGGGGCCGCGCGCGAGGCCCCGGACCAGGCCTCCGGTCATCGAGACCCCCGTAGACAGGGGCCGCAACACGTCCATCACGTGTCACGGTTATATATTTAGACATATCTCACTATCATCCTGCGCATCTCCTTTCTCCCTCTCTCTTTTTCTCTATCTCTGCATCCTCGAGTTCTTCCCTACGAGTCTTCATCGTTTTTCCTTTACACTCCGCTTGATTCTTCGTCATACAACCATTCTGTCGTTATGTTAACCGAGATTGCATCCTGCTTAGGAAAAAGAATCTATGCTTAGAGAATTGATTTTATCGGAAAATAAGTTCATCTTGAAACAAGAAAGCTCAATCGAATTTTGAAAATCCGAAAAACAAAAGTTTTCTATTTTTGATTCAATGAAAGAGATTCCAAAGAAAATTAATAAAGCGATCCTCGAGTGAAATACAAAAATTCAACACACGCATTCATATTTGCCTTCCAATCACTCCTCCCAAGCTACTCCCTTTCATCACTCATCCCTTCAACTCACTGTCCAATTTGTTGCGCCGATATTCTCGCCACCTTACTATTTCGACTGATGATTCATTAATAGATCCCGTAACAACCTCGTCTTCCGCGCAATTCTCTTTTTCGCCACTGCGCGTTTCCTTGTTGGTCCCTATTGGTCCCGCCTGGGCGCCGCGTATCATTCATCCAGCAACATATTTCAACATTAATTTCCCGGATGGTGATACATCGTTCGCATCATCCTGGCCTCCTATCAGCCCAGAGCTCATCATCATCCGCGTCCTTTTTTGCTCCCTCCCGCTGTCGTGCGTACGTAAGGTCCTACTCTTCTTTTTCCTTTTCTTCTGTTTTTTCTTCAGGGACGAATGGTGGCTTTTCTGAAAGTCCAAAGTTATAATTATTTTAAAGTTAATATTATCTTTCGAGACTTTTCAGACAAAAGTATAGTCAATATGATCAATGTGAAGTTGAACATCTTTTTTCGCATATTCTGTAAAGTATACAGAATATTTTGCATCTTTCAAGTCTTAAAGTTATTCTAGGCAAGAATATAACACAATGAAAGTTTTAGTTTTGCATGCAAAATACAAACAATATGCAATCAAACTTATTCCCTCTTTTTATATTATTCCTTTTTTAGAAGCTTTTAATAAGGTAAAGTTGAAGAGTCTTAAAACAAATAGCGTTGCGTAATTTTAAATGGTTAATACATTATTTGAATAAGATTATTTTCAGCGAGAACTCGAAATTTCATTAATTTAAATCCATCCCTGTTCTTTTCATATTCTTCCCTGAATAATCATACACTCGCCATAGCGACCCTCTCGATTGCTGGTCGTTAATATCAACCGCCAGGTAGTCTCTGTCGATTGAATTTTTTACCGCGATACCCACCGCGGAAGCCGCGGCTTGAACCGGTATCCCATTCGTGCTGTTGCTCCTTGAGAGTAACTGACATTCACCTTAAACGTCTATCATTCGTCATCGAGTCCGTGATGTCGATACAAGTTGGCGGGAAATGAAACAGTATGAGCATACTAATATTAAAAAATTTGCTATTAAAAATTAACTGTTAGTAACAAATTTATTGATATTAATTGTTTTTTATAATGCAAGTATTACATAATGGTCTAAAAATAAAGACTTTGATAAAAATATATTAAAAATCAAACTATTGATTAAACTTCTTAAGAACTCAATTGGTTCAGTTATTAGTAAGATCTGATAATCTAAGATACTCGCAACTAAGAGAGCGGCTTACATAAAGATATATAATACAATGCGTTTCGTTGTTGCTTTATATTCGTTACCGAAATCCTTGATCTCACATCGTTATTTCAATAATATTCGCATTCAATAAATTATTCGTAATAATAATTTTTAATTAATATATGCATCCATAGATGATATCTGACATTGATTGTAAACAGAACGTCAACTGTTCTAAGGATTGATAACACTATAAGAACATAAATGTGATAAAATGTATGTCACAGATATTAATTTATTTATATACATAAAGAACGCGTGTATATAAATGTTATGCTTTCTTAAATACATTAAATGAACACATAACATAGATAATAACGATAAAACCATGAGAAAAGATAATAAATTAAATAATTAATTTTAATTATGCATTTCAACTTATTTATATAATTTGATATCTTATTTATCTATAGTACTATTTTTCTACGATCAATGAACACTTTGTATTTCTTTCAATTTAATTTTTTCATGATTCAACTTAAATATTTGACTTAAGTATTATACTTGTTTAATATTGTTTGTTAAAAAAAAAATAATAAAAACGCGTATTTCCATTTTTATGCTTTTTTTCTCTTTTGTTTAAAAATTTGAATATATACTTATACAATTAAAAAATCTAGTTAATTTTATGTACACTACTCTGCATAAGTTTATACATTACAATTTCATATATATTATTGCACTCAGTTACAATTTTTGGACTCAAGCAATTATGATTATAATTTTACAATTATATATTTTTATAATTATATTTTTTCTTTGTATTCACTAGAAAATTATTATTGCGTGATTAATACATATGTAAATCATGTAAAAATATAAAAACGTGTTAAATTATTATTTTCAAAATAAAATATTCTCGGAAATGTCACGCGTGCCATCACTCATAATTACTAATTATTTTTGTCGGTTTGACTATAAAATTATCCGAATGTCCATCAACATCTTCCAATTCCTTTGAATAAAATTTCGCCGCTATCCTAGCACGTCCTTCTAACTTCGGTGTCATGTAAAAGCTACATTCCGCATCCGCGTCCACCTCGACAGTTTCTGATAGTTTCAGCTTCAATTGCTTGTCCATACCAGGTCCTTCAATAAGGAACGTACCCTTTCTCAAAGGAATTGGTAGTGGATTGCGAAACTTAGCCGAAGCGTTGAGAATCTGACCGACGATTGCTTCGTTATGTATCTAAATCAGGAAATTTTTATATAGTAACATATACAGAATGTCCGTCAATTTTTGACCTTAACGAAATAAAGAAGTAGATTGGCTCAAATTAAGAAGGAATGACCTGTATTGTTTTGGGATTGTTGCAATAATTAACATTTATATATTAATATTTATATAAAAAAATATTTAACGAATTAATCGAACGAATGCATTTCGATTCATCTTTTCGTTTGATATATAAATATTTAATTCACTATTCGACTGATTGCATTCCATCTCGTTTTTTTATTCGATATATATATAAATATTTAATTAATTAATCGAACGATTGCATTCCGATTCATCTTTTCGTTCGATATATATAAGTATTTAATCAATTAATCGAACGATTGCATTCGGCTTGCCATTTTATTCGCCGCGTTACAGTGAATATCGCGCGAAAGAGACAGGCAACATGCGCGGCGTCGTGCACGATTTCGATCGTCCGCGCGCAGACGAAAAACGGCCAATTTATATCTCGACTTCCGGACGCGATAGCGATTTCGTTCTTTTTGCATAAAATTCTACACCATTTCGCGGCACTACCGTTTAAATCTCGTCCCGATCGCCCGAGGAGCGGCTGACTTACAGTGAATATCCGAAATCTGCTTCTTGGATATATCGAATTATATATATCGAATAAAAAAGCGAGTCGGAACGCAATCAGTCGAATAGTGAATTAAATATTTATATATACCAAACGAAAAGATGAATCGGAATGCATTCGTTCAATTAATTCGTTAAATATTTATATATATAAATATTTAACGAATTAATATTTGATATGATATAATCTACTTCTTTATTTCGTTAAGGTCGAAAATTGACGGATACCCTATATATATATATATATATATATATATATATATATATATATATTCGACCCCAAAATAGATATGATAACAGATATATATATATATATATATATATATATATATATATATCTATTATCATATCTATTTCGGATAGATATATTCGGATATATATATATATATATATATATATATATATATATATATATCCGAATATATCTATCCGAAATAGATATGATAATAGATATATATATATATATATATATATATATATATATCTATTATCATATCTATTTCGGATAGATATATTCGGATATATATATATATATATATATATATATATATATATATATATATCTGTTATCATATCTATTTTCTGCCCTTAATTTTTTTCATTGACAAGAGTTTTAATAATATATGTATAATCTAATAATTACCGTGATTTTAATGTCGGGTTTTCTGACGCGAAAATCATCCTGCGCAAAGTACTCGAAATTCGTGTCCTTGACAGTTGCGAGACAAGCAATGTTGAAGGCGCATTGATCTAATAATCTAGGACCGTATTCCTCCCAAGAAACATCCATGCGAATTTCCTCGAGCATTCCTGGCCGGACTAATCTATCGATTTGTAATCTCTTCACCGGATCGCCTACTCGACCGGTATACAAGACAGTCTCCACTCTCAGAATTGCGGATATGTGATATTCCATCATTGAATTCCGATTTTTAATCAATAGTACAACACTATCAAAAAATAAAATAAATTTAAATAATTATATTTAATAAAATAAAGCATAATTATTTTATAAAATAAAGCATTTAAAGAAACTAATTCTACAATCAATTGCAAAGAAAAGTTGAAGAAAAAATTTGAAGAATTTAAATGAAGAAGTAATAATTTTAGTAGTATTTTAAGAATAATAAATTAATTTTATTAATAAACTAAAAAAAATACCTAAATGGCTGTCCGATTATGATGTCATCGCGCAATTCAAAAGTGAACATGATATCATTGAACTCCTCATTGAGATAATAACGGCTAAACAAAGACTCGCTTTGACGAAGCGCCTTCAGCATGGCAGCACGTTCTTCCTCAGACTCTATTATGAGACATGATTTTTATATAATTCATAGCAGCCAATTAAATGTGCATCACATTAATATTTTAAAATTAAAATAAAATCAATACCCTTTTTTGACTTGTAATATCATTAAATTATAAATAAATTATGTCTTGATTAAGAATTAAATAAATAATGTCTTGACATTACTTTCTATTGCACAATTTTCTTAAAAATTCACTTACTTTCAGGATATTTGTAAGTGTGCGTGATATCTTCTCTCGTCCATTTTCCAACAGCTTTCGTGCTAATCAATTGGCCGATGCTGTAACATAATTATTGTATGGTTATTCAATTTAATTAGGCTAATTATCGGTTTAATAATAAAAAAAAGTGACATATATTGGCAATGTATGAAAAGTACATTTCGCACGTACCCATACATATCTTTGCGAACTAATTTTAAGGGCTGTGTAGGTCCGTTGTAACGCCAGAAAACTTTGTCGGCATTTACTTCGGCAAAGACGAACGCGTTATCGTAGGGACGTAGAACTTCGCCCTTCTTCACAGCGGCCACAGAGGCTGGTCCACAACGATATGCACCTTCGCTTAATTCTTGAGGAGTGGCATCGATCGCTTGCCATCCCGAACAATCCGGCGACAAGTCCAATCGTTTCATCCACACCTCATTCCAGACGTGGAAATTCCTTTTACGATAAAAAAAAAGAAATTCGGATAGTTTTAATAAATTTATAATTCTTTAAATTTCTAAATTTTAAATTAATATCATTATAATCATCGAGATTCTTCATAATTATACATTGATCCCTAAAAGAAATTAAGCTGATTGCAAAACTAATCGCTTCATATATGTTTTATTTCTATTTTTATTAGCTTTACTTTTATTTGTGATTTGTAATTAAATTGATCGTCTTTCTTTCCTTCCCATGTCGAATTAAATTAAATTACCATATCGAATCGCTGTTAAGCTCCTCCATGATTTTGCCTTCAGCATTCACAAAGTAGTCCACAGTCAGACTGCTTTGAGTATCATGCGCGCTCGAGTAGTTGGTCACTACTCGACAAGGTATACCGAGAGTTCGACAAACTGTCGCCAACACGCCGGAGAAGACCCAGCACTGTCCGTACTTGACTGGTTTCTTCGTTCTGTAATATTCCTGGAGTATTTTCTGCGAGCCCATCCATCTCGTAGGTGGTATGCCACCTTCGTAATCATCCGACCAATTTCCCATCACTGCTCCGTTGTCATCGGGGGAATTCACCTAGAAATCGATGGCACTTACGAAAGACAATCTAAAAATTCTAATTTTCACGCATTTTGTATTTTCGAAAGAGGGAAAGTGTATTTTAAAGATTGTTTCCCAAAATAGGAAAATAGGAAAAATAACTTACCGCGGCGGACAAACAACGCGTTATGATGACAGGATCGTTTCTACCGGAAACTCGAACCTTGCCAACATGGTTCATCAGGTGCAAGGCGCTATCCAAAATGTCTCGTTCGAATTGCGCGTATTTCCATACGGTGGGTCGCAAACGATTATGACTTCCACGCCAAATTAAACCATCCTCCGCTAGCACATATTCTTGACGTTCAGCCTCATTTTCCATGTAAACCACGTCATCTAAAAGAAAGTATTTTGTAAAATTTGAAATCGTTTATTGAAAATTTTTTAATCCTTAGCCCCCAATAGACAATTTTTTTTCCTTTTTTCAATAATCCGTAGATTTCTGCAAAGTTAAAAGAGATTTTCTATTGTTATGTATTATAAAGCAATAATATAAAACTTGGAAAACTTGCATGATACGTTGTTCAATATTCTTGAAAAACAAAAGAAATTAAGACATTTGCAAATAAATACCTTCGCACCATGGATTACAAATCAAATAAAACGGATGATTCATCGTGTAACTGACAGCTCCTTCAGTTTCCTTGTTCTTGGTGTCAATCTCCATTTTCCATTTGCCTATAATTGCATTTGGGGATGATACAACCTAAAAGCAATATGTTTCGTTAATAAAAGATTTTTTTTACCTGATTTTTTATCTGTTTTTTTTCTGATACATATATATGTATATTAAAGTTATGAAATCATATGTTCAATCAAAATCACATTTCCTCTCTCAATAATAAAAAAAATCTGACAAAATCTGCATATCTTTCATAAGCTTCTAACTTGCCTTTATCCTTAAGAAATTTTGTGCTCTAGCGTCAATGGTGGTCTGCCAAGCAGCTTCGGAAATCTCTCCAGGATTGAGCACAGCGGTTGCCACCAATGTCCCGTGTCCATATTGTGGCCTTTCGATGCCATCCAAAGTGAAGACGATGGAAATCCCGTCGATGGAAGAAATATAGTCTCGAGATAGGCTGAGATGCAGATAAAATTCCTGACCACGTCTGACAACGAGTCTCGCTCTGTCATCATGACGGGTCATCAGCTCATATCTGGATGTCCGATGATTCTCGCCATTCTCTTCAATGCAAGGATCTACATTGTGAATCGTCAATACTGGAACGCCAAAATCTTCCCCTATAAACAGCATTTTTGAAAAAAATTGTGTAATAAAAATTTGATATATAATATAGGGAAAGAATGAAGTATTTTATTTAAATGGAAATAGCAAATCAAATAATAATTAAATGATAAATACTTGTAAAAATCTTGGAATAAAATTATATCTTTGATCAATTGATAAAAAATCTTCAGTGATTAAGAATTAATTCACTTTTTTTGCTAGATGATTTATAATGACACTTTAATAATTAGAAAGATTAAAAGATAACAAGAGTCAATGTGAGAATAAATTTAAAAATTATAATTTAAAGAAATAAAACATTAAACAAGTAAAAAATAAAATTTAAAAAAATAATAAAAAATGAAGCAAATATTTCGGTCCCATTCTTCGGATTATTTTCAGTGTAATATTTGACAATTTAATATCTGATAATTTAATTCTTTTCTAAAGTAAATGTAGATATGTGTAACAAGACTGACAAGTGCGTTTTATAATTTGGATGTCATTTTTTTAAATAATTACATTGTTTCTAATTCTTCGCGCAGGACTCACAATAAAATCTAAACGGAAACGGCCGGATACGTCGATCGTTGAATATCCGGTAGCGATCGTAAAATCTATAAAACATCCCACGACGATCCGGCTGCGTCGGCTGCGGATGCGAACGAAAGGCTGGATACATGGATGAAGAACGCACCGAACGCGAGTTTGCCGAATGACTGAAGAGCTTTGCCGGCGACAAAGAGGAAGGAAAAATATGTAGCCTAGGTTCTGCGTTCTAGGAGCAGTTTCAAGGACTAACGTGCTGCAACACCGAGTGCAACCATACATGGCGTCATCGGTGACACCCGCGTAAATAAAAGAGTGAAAGAGAGAGAGAAATAGATAGAGAAAAAAAGAGAGAATCACCCACTTTTCATTTTTATAAATTAATCGGCGATTATAATTACAGTTAATTATTGTAAATTTCGACGAAAATCTCTCTTTGAATTTTTTAATAAACAAAATAATATATATTTGGTTAAAAAATTTTAACAGCTTCAAAATCAACAAATTCAATTTTTATAGAATTTTTGCACGCTTTAATAAAATATTAAACGTTAAGATAACAATAATAAACATTTCTTATTTAAGAAAATTAAAATTTTGAAATTATTCTAATCAAGTTGTTCAAGGAAAATAAAATTATTATCAAAATATATATCATACATGTCAAGTAATAAATAATTATTAAATAACAAATTAAGCAACAAATAATTATTTTACTTAAAAATGATGTATTATTTTATGTGAAATCTAATAATATAATTATATTTTACGGATATAATATAATTATATTTTACGGATTGCGTGTAACAAATAAGATATTAGTCATCTTTATAATATTAGTTCATCTTATGGCTATAATGACGATAATACAGTTTTATTATGCAGTTATCACGTAATGTATTAAAAGATAAAAATGCGTCATTCTTAACACTCATTGTTCTCATAAGTAGTCCAGGGATATATTTGTAACTTACGCAAATTATAAATGCCAAAGTAATGATATCCTTCGACAATGTAATGGCAATCACATCATTAAATATAACAGTATGTAACTTTAAATATTATAGTCATTAAATTTAATTTAAATTTTCTCTCATCTTATACATTTCAGAATTATAATATGTTTAAATTCTATAAATATTTAACTATTTTATTTAAGATTTATAAATGTTTCCATACATCAAAATTTCGCAAGTATTCATTTAAAATGTGGACAAATAAGATTACGAAAATTAGTTACGCCTACAGAAATGTGAACGCTTTGTATAATTTAAAGATTGCACACCTACATGATCAATTTAATAATATAAGCCTATAATCATGCTTAAAAGGATCATTATAAATCGAATTTAAAAAGAATTATCTATCATTGAAAAAGAGATCTACACAATTTCCTAGATACATTCCTAGATATTATAAAATTCCGCAAATCAGAACGGCATTGATGATTAATGATGAGAAAAGATCGATTATTACTCTGAATTGCATGCAGATTTTTCAATAGCGGATACGACTTACTTCATTCTAATTGATTATTATGAAATGTAATCGCGCAAAATTTTGCATGTGTACAATTAAATTATTGCAGTATATAAATAATAATTAAATCTTATATATAATATTTTAAAATATATCATATATAAAAAAAATATGTTATTATACATAAAAAATATATTTATCTAACATTAATATTAATCTCTCAAATAATAAAATATTACAAAAAGATATTACACATACATATATAAGATTAAAATAATATTTCTCAATAATTCATAAACACAAATTTTTTAATGATTTATTTCGATCTTACGAATTCATTTTTATTTTATAAAACAATAAATAAATATACCAGTTTACATATATTTAGAACACATGCAAGAAGAAGTCACTATTATCATTAACTTGTAATTATCATTTCTGGTTAATAAGATACAGTTTAATATAGTAAAAAACCGATCTGCCAATCAGTTTGCGGGTTTCAGATTTATTAGAGACCAAGTTTTGCTATTTAAGGAAAGACAAGGTGTATTCCTTATTAATCAGAAAGCAATTTGCGACAATCACATACAATTTGAAGAAGTACTTCTCTCATTATGCATGATCTCAATGTGTATATATAATTTTTCGCACCGACACATTGTCAAGCAATTGATTGGCGTCACCCACTTTTACCTATATAAATTAATTTGAAGATGTTGCTTAGAGCATGACATGAATTTATAATTAATGTATTATTATTTAAGGAAAAAAGAAAGATTAATTGGATGATAAACAAAGTAAAATGCATTTTAATAAAGTTTATATAGTTAAAGACTAAATCACATTCTTTTTTTGCAAAATGTTTTATACTGGAAACTAAAATATGCGTTGCATACTGACTAATAAAAATACGGAGACTAATTTTTATACAGTTTTTTATGAAACAATATAATTGCTGTAGAACATAATTACATAGATAAACTCAACTGACATAGTATACAATAAAATGATAAAAACACAGCACGATAGATAATTAAGATCGATTCTTATAAATTATTTCTTACGTTCTTACGTTCTTATGATTGCTCTATAATTAACCATCAATTTGTCGACAATAATTATTATGTTATTTCATCAGATTTCTATTTATCGTATTCATTTTGCGATTTGAAGAACAAGACAGATTATGCAAATTATTTGTCTTATTATTGAATTCGCAAATAACAATATGTGCTCCAATTGTCATTGTAATTCGCTTATTTCATCGATCTTAATACGAAAATGATGATATTCAAATGACTCAGTAATGAAATTCATATAACAGACGTATGCGTATTGTGTTTCCAAACAAAAATAACGCCGAGAACTCGGCCAAGTATAAAAGTAACTGACATCACTCGCGTTTGCTCGCTTAAATCGATTGATTTTTCGATCAATTTAAGATTGATCTCTTTAAAAAAAAAATTAATAAGATCTTGTTTCGTATTTAATTTTTAACATCATATAGTTTTCTTAACATTACATATTTCTATTAACGTAAAATTCATTTGAAATTAAACGAAGAATTCTATTATCTCTTTTTATGTCTAAAATATTTTATATTTTAAATTGTATTTTTTCAACACGACAAATATAAAACGCTCAAATAATTAAATTTTAAAAGAATATTTGATGCAATTTTTATAATATATTTATCAATGTGTGTGTGTGTGTATATATATATATATATATTTATATGTCGATATATGTTTATCATTCAAGAGATGCATTTGCAATTCTTATTGAAAGCATCTTGCACACCTAAAGCATGTGCGAGCAAAATGCTCGTTCACGATCAACTTGCTGATGCTCTCATAGATACATATCAGGATATCTTAATTATCTAGCATCAGAGAAGCACCGTCTGGTATAATAAATCCGCGTCGAGAAGCAAAAGTCCAGTAGCTTATATGTTACACGTCGTGCTATTTATGTAGAAGAGAATGAGTCAATAGAATAAATTATCTGGAAAAGAGTGATTTAATGAGGAGAATCCCCGATTGAAATTTGATTAGTCTGTCAATCTATTTGCGATCCATGAAAGAAAGCACTTTTTAAAGATTTACTGAGAAATAATTTTTACTCTTGATTATGTGAAAAAAAAACAAATTTAGATTAATTTAAATAATTCGAGTAAAAATGCTGATAGTAACATGAACTTACACTTCAGCGAAAATGACATCACCGTTTAGCGATCATGGCATCGCGCTGCTTGCGTAATTTCACTTTCATTCATGACAGCGCGAGACTGAGAAGTATTCGTTAATATAATTCATGATCTGAGACTTTAGAAATTAAAGAGTTCTCAACCAAAAAAATTTATCTCTCTTTAATAAAAGATACAAAAATATTGTTTTTTTAATGCATGGATTAATGCAAACACGTGCATCTTCTTTAAACGAATTAATAGACTTTATCATATATGTCTACAATGAATGATAAACAGTGCGGGATAAAACAACAGATACAATCACACATATATAAATACAATACTGATACAAGTATACCTAATGAATAATTTCAATACATAATCCACAAGATGACGCCGTTTAATGAAGGTCGGCATCTTGCGAGAGAGGAAGCTAACTGATTTCCCATCTGCTTGAGTATATGTATATTTTCTTAATCAGAGAACGATAAATCGTAAGTGTGTGTTCGAACGAGGAATAAATCGTGCGTTACGTCGATGGAATCTGCGTTTATTTACAAATCGTTCAGTCGTTTGTCAAAGTACAAAAACTCTCTGTCAAGAACATAAGAGAATACAATCCTCTCAAATGTTTCTTACGTTCCTCGCAAAATTTATATATCATTGATTTTCTTAAGATTCCTATATGTCTAATTCAAGCGTAAATAAATAGACAGGAAAAATATATAGAATATACATCTGTCTTTACTACATTTTATTTTACAATGTTATTCTTTGATTTCATTTCCTTTTAAATTTTTCTTTTTTGATTCTCTAATTTAAAATATTATATAACAAAATATCATCATTAAATTAACGATATTTGATTCAAGATAAATGCTAAACGGATAAAAATCTTCACGCCTACGTATATTAATGCTCATCTCATCAATTATTTACGATTTTTAACTTTATATCATGATAATAAAATCATCGCCAGCATATTGAATTCACGACTTTATGATTTTTTTTTAGATAATTTCATAATAATGACATCATACGTTACATGTAATACAACATTAAATGTTTGTTGTATTTTCCATCATACCACACATTTTCTTAGCACGTGTATCGTAAAACCTATGGAACACATAGCATCTTGTCCCTGACCGATATTCTGAAAATAGGCTTCAAAGTACGTTGGAAAAACACTTTGCTTCTTAACTAGATATTTCGGATATTTAATCCTTCATCGCACGTGTTCAAACAGTTAAACCTTTTTGATTTAATTTATATTTAATAATTAATTTAATAATTAATATATATATATATATATATATATATATATATATATATATATATATATAATCCTCTAATATATAATCCTCTAATGTCTAGCGTATTTATCGTACAGTTACAAAACATAATTTCAAAACTCGTTTAAAAATCTATTTATGAAATTTTAAAGCCAGCGGCTTACGATGCTTGTTTTCATGCTGGATTGCATGCGAGCATTACGATGATTTGACAATTCTTTAATATCGAAATTACGATTAGTCAATTAAGACGCTCACATGCGATCTAGTACGAAAAATCGTACGGTGTGCCGCAGGCTTAATTATATATCAGCAATTTTATAAAGTATTAACAAACAACAGTTTTGAATTTTTTACATAAAATCATAGAATCAAAAAATTATAAAGATTAAAATTATTTGCGTTTCGTGATAATTTACGATCATTGGATCTAAAGAAAACTAGAAGCTTCTACTAAATATTACTCATTGTATTATCTCGATAGGGCACGTGCTTCCGTCACGATTTTAGGCGCCCGGCAATATGGACTTTATTTTACGCCTTTATGATTCATACCGCGCAGACGTTTACTTCTTATCTCTCCGTTTTACATTAATTGATTTTTGTCCTGCCCGTGCACTCCGTCCTCAAAGGGGTCAATTGACTACGTGTCAGGGCAAATATATCTCGGAATGTGCTTCTCTTTATCGAGATTCACTCAATCGCGGACTTGAAAATTTAAATTGATATCGCGTCATACAAACTCTTATCTTATTCAGTGAATTATATATATAATAATTTTCATAAATTATATACACAACAAGTTCATGTATATTAATGAGGCATAAATAATTACAGTTTTTAATAATTATAAACATCATACACACAATAAATGCGTAATTATATTTTTTTGATATCGACGAATCTCGATAATGCGAGATGAAATCGACATTTTACAAAAATTTATTAACTCACGTAGTAAGACCTAGAAAGCACGTAAGAACCATTTTGAGCAGGGAAATAAGTAAGACAATATTCTTATCTCTCTTGCAATTTTTAATTCTCCTCTTAATGCAATCCAAACTTTTGGCAGATATGCAGATAATCGTAATCTCACAAGAATATTTAGCTACGCTCGCCTCGGGAAAACATTAAGGGAACAATCTATTCGAAAAGTTACTCCTCTCTCGAACTTTTAATCAACATTAATAATAGCATTATAATTAGAATTTCTTCAGTACATGAATATAATGCAATACGTGCAATAATGTTACGTTCATTATGTTTACTTTAACATACAAATACTATTTATTATATTATTGCATTGCATTTAATTACTATTTTTTCAAAATATAATTTTTTACATCTTTACGTTAATTGTCAGTACATTTAATTAGCAATTAAAAATCATTTTAACAGAGGATTAACTTACCGGGAGTAATGTTTGCAGGCGGTCGTGGCGTCTGCGAAGGTCTGATATGTTGAGGTCTAAACGCGGCCCTGAATCCGGGAAGGCATGGACACGTGCAACACTTTTTGATCATTGTGATAATTGAGAGAGATGCAGACGTTATTCGTGTAAAAGTTATGTCTTCTACACCATCCTTTGATCCACATAAATCTTGATGAATCTAATAAAAAAATTGTATTTATGAATTTATCATTTTCTAAATATTCAACTTTGATCTTACCAATTATAAAACATTTTTTATTTGCACAATTAAAAAAAGATATAAATCTTGATAAAATAATTTTAATTCTAACAATAAGTCTTAAGTACATTTAATCAAGGACAATGAAAATTGTTTAAATGAGATGTAAATGAGTGATTGTCGGAGGGTGATTGATCACGTCGTCAATTGGCCAAATTCAAAATAAAACTCTCTGATTGGTCATTACTTGTTACCTAGGCACAGGTCGATATAATTGGCTGTGGTCAATCGCAACGTGATCAAACGGGATACTCCTATGATTGTCTCACAAATATAACGAAAATAATGTTTTATAAGAAACTGATATGCTTGGCAACTTATTCAATTAGAAAGTATTTTATCGCGTGATAATATTTTCAATCAAAAAATTAAAATCAAAAAATTTTTTTTGTTACATTACATTATGATATTATTTCAATAACTTTTATTAAATAATTTTTAAACAAATCTTATTTGCATTTGTATAATAAAAATTATGATTAGTAAATGAATAAGTGTGATGTCTTTCTTCAATCAATAGTTCATAGTTTATAAATTTTTATATATATGAATTAAAAAAAAAAAACTCATATGAAATTCATATAAAGATATTCGTACAATACTTTCAAATGATGTGATAAAAAGTCTTTTTTATATATATTCGCAATAAATAAATATATAAAATTTTCCAAACTTGTTAAATTATAAATATTAGTTTTTTAATATTTTTATCGAGAGAATAAATGTAATTTTTCTATAATTACATAATATTTTTGAAATAAAATTGATAGCTGCGTACCTGTAAAACACAGTCTGAAGTACTTTTCTCTTACAAATAACTTTGCACATATCACGTCACTATACGCATTTCAAACGCGTGTGTTCAAGATGATTGTAATAACGTGTTATATCTCCGTGCCGGTTGTCGAACGACTGTCAGTAAGAATCAGCTGCAGACGATAATGTATCTCCCGCCAACCTTCGGTTAACTTTTAGGAAAGACGGCTAAGGAAAATAGTAATGATATGCGAATACGCTAACGTGGGCATTTTATATCACTGGTTCAATGATGAAAGGACACGCCTCTCTAGTGGATGCTGCGCTCATTAATAACTCGATGCAGTTTACATTTTTTACTTATCATATTCTACTCACTTATAAACACTGCAAATATACAAGTATCTCCTCTCTAGAAATATAATTCTCATATCGATTCGGACAACTCGAAAGAGAGAGAGAATCTTTTTGCAGAAAGTTTTATTTTTAATAAAAAATTGATATAATATATATACAAAAAATTGATATAATATATATACACGATAAACAATAAATTAAATATATATTGCTTATTATTGAAATTAAAAATAATAATGAAAGAAGTCAAATAATCGCAAACTTTTCTTCTTTAGAGATATTTTCGCATGCGTGTACAGTATAATATATGCATGATTTAATTGACATAACGTATAATAGTGTGACCAGAGGACAAGTATTTATTATACAATTTGTCATATGTTCATATATTAATTAATAATTATTGTCTGATAATGAGTACATATATACTGCTGCAATGCGTCTATAGATTTACGCGACAGCGTGAGTAAATGATAGAGAAAATAATGCATATTTTTAGCGTCCACGTAACACAAGAATTTGTTCTCCGAATTTCGTAACTCAATTCCGTTTCCGTAGTGAGAATGCGATATGTCTATGAGTCTCGCTCATCATCGAGCTCAAGATTAGGGTAGAAATATAAAATGACGTAAATTCTAAAAATAAGTGATTTTATACATCAAGAAAGAGAAAATACACGTAATAACATATAATGTATTATAACTACAAGAACATAAGATTATAAAAAAAGATTAATATTGAAAATGTATTAAACAGTTTTATTAAAAACAATTATTTAATTTTTATATCTTTCAGTCAGTTAAGTCTTGAAATCATAACAATGATTAATCAACATTTAGCAATATTCAAGTATTCCACTAAGAAATTAAAATTAAAAATATAAAAAAATTGAGTAATTTAAAAAAAAAGAAAAACAAACATCTATTATTACTACTATACTATATGAAATTACATTATTATAATATAATAATAGGGGTGGTTTTTATACATTTTGAAAATTTTAAGTTAATTCCTTAATACATTTTGTAAAGTAATTTCTTAGATGATTTTATAAAGAAAAGTTTATATACACATTTTCATAAACTATTTCCAAACATAAGCAATATTCAATAAAAATTATATTTTATAATTATAAAATAACTATTTTTATAAAATAATTATTTTTTTTTAATTCCGAAAACAGTTATTGAAATTGGATTTAACTAATCAAATTTGTATACTATTGATGATACTAAAATTTTTCAAAATTTTTTCGCTAAAAGTTAACCCATTATCACTATTAATGCACAATATTAAGAGATTAATTGGAACAATCTTCAAAAGATTAAGAAAAAAATAATTTTTTATTAACATCCTGTATATCTTTGGAACTTAGCCAATAAAAACAATTTCAATTTTTTTTCATAAAGTCATTTAAGAAATTATTTCTGTATAATTTTCAGAATATATTTAAATATCACTCTGTATAAAATATTATTTACATATCTCGATATATCATATAATTATCAAATATATATATACATATATATCTCTCTCTTTCTTATATTAACCAAAATCCAAACAAATTATATAAATTCTTAATTTTGCAGCATGTCTGTTGCTATGTCTTGTTCGGGTTCTATTCTGATTATTCCAAAATGTTTCACCATAACATATAAATATGAATATTCATATTTACCAGACTCATTCTGTAATTAAAATTAAATATATATGATTGTATACATATTTATTATTATTTTTGTAAATAGTTTTAACAAACTTACCTTTTTCATTTCTACAAATGCTGTTCCACGACGTCTTGATCCTTCTAAATAAAACTTCAGTTTCATATGTTCAATACCATCTTTAATATAATGCATATGACTGAAAAAATAAATAACAAAAATATATTACTCCAAATATTGTTTATATTCTTAAAAAAATAATTAACATATGTATTTAATAATAATAATTAACACATCTGGAATAATAAATATTTGTTGAATATAATTGTTAAATAATCAAAATGCGTTATTTATGCAAGAGAATATATAAATATACAAATATATACATATATAAAAAACTTATCAATATTTTATATATATTTGAAAAAAGAATCATTTAAATATACCTAATAGCTCTCCTGCGTCTACGACTTGTTTCATCTCCATAAGCTTTTATAGGAGTTCCAAGTGTATCTATAATTTTTGGATGTTCTATGCAACGTATACGAGCTTTACTATAAATGGCATCCAGACTTTCACTGGAGAATAATTCCGAAAATAATGTATATAATATGAGTGCTGTAATTCCAATGCCACTTATTATTATTCCTAGTTGTCCAGTAAACTTCAGATTTTCTTTGACTAAAAGAAAAAAATATGTATATATATAATATGCATAATAATATATGATATAGATCATATTTACTTACCTACTTCTACTGTACTGACTTGTCTCTTGTCAGTTTCATCAGATTCAACATTAGTTACAGATTTCTTCGTTGAATACCAAACATTGTGTTTGAAGATAATACTAAGACAATATGATGTATCTTTTTGTATGTTTTGTATGTTTATGTATCTTTTTTGAAGAGTGCGATTTAATATTGTTAATGCCATATCCTAAAATATATATTAATATTATTAATTATAAATTATGATACACAAATATACATATACACAATGTACAAAACATTTTATAAAATTTATATTAATCTCTTTAGAAGTATATACTGTTTGATAAACGTTTCTAAACAACGAATACAAGTTAGTTAATGAACAGTAATTATTTAATATCTCATATTCTATTATAATTGTATTATTTTATCATTCTCTGTTAACATTTTTATGACAATAAAATTTACATATTAATATAAAAAAATAACATTAAAAATATATAAAATGGACAATTCGATATTGATACTATTAAATTATGCTCTTTTAAAAAGACGCATACTTTTTATTTATTTAGGACCACCTCAACAAAACTTCGCTTAATTTCATTGTTGATACTCGGCTAACAGAATTGCCAACATTCTAAATACATTTTAGAAAGAGAGAGTATTGGTTGCGTTCAGGAAAAGTTGCTTTGCAACTGTTGTAAAATTCGTGAATCTGATTGGTGTATACTCTTAGATTCAGCCAAAATTAAGAGCATACACCAATCAGGTTCACGAATTTTACAACAGTGTAAAGCAGCTTTTTCTGCTGAACGCAGCCATTATAAAGAGGAAAAGAGAGATTGTTAGAGCAACAAAAATATTGTTAATAACACTGTAAATTAATCGTCGATTATTTTAATCGGAATTTAGTCGAACTGGTCCTTATACATTATTTACATACATGTATAGAAAAAAATTTACACCTTAATATGCCCCTGATATAAAGTAAAGATTATCTAGAGTCAATTAGCATTTTGGAAAAACTTATGGCTTGAAATTGATTGTTTCTCTTCCTATTCTTGAAATGGAGATCAAAAATCTTACTCGTAGGGTAAAATAGTTTAATTGACCAATCAGAATAAAAGGGGAGCAAAGATTTCTTTGTCCTGATTGGTCAGTTGAATGCTACTTTATTTCCGAACGCATCCAAATAATTGCGCATCGAAATCTAGTAGTAGAATAGTATAAGGTGATAAAATTACTCGTTTGTAAAAAAACATTGCTTTGAATTGTCAGTTGATAAGTAAATGGAAAATAAATAATTTACAGAATAAAGAGAAACGAGAAATATTATATAATTAAATTTATATAATATATTGATGAAGACTGCACTACATCAGAGATTAGTGATGGTTGGCGATCGCGATGGGTAAATAATATGTTAATTGTCCATGTTGTTTACATTTTCCATCGCTTACACAATTAAAACTGATTCTAATATATCATAATTTTCGCAAAATGAATCCTTTTTATTGTATAAATTTTGTTTTATGATATATGACTAAAATTTTTATTTAAATAATTTCTGAGCATATTCAATTAATATCAGATTGTCTAATAAAACTTAGATATAATATTGTTTAAAATTTATTTTTAGACTAAAAGAATTATTAAGACGTAGATTGGTGGAATGTGGATGGCGAGATCAAGTAAAGTTAATCTCAAAGGAATTGATAAAGGAGCATGGTCATGACATCACATACGATACGCTGCTATCTGCAGTGACAACCAAAGCTCGTTCACTTGTACCAGATTCTGTAAAAAAAGAACTGTTACAGAAAATTAAAAATCAGTTGATGGCTCAAGAGGAAAAACTCAAGATTGTAACAGATCGCTAACAACTTTTTCGACATTATTAAGCTTTATGCAGTTTATCAATGCAATAATATTGATATACAATTGCAGAAGTTGTGATAAATATCTTTTCACAAATTACATGTATAATACCTTAATAAGAAACGCATAATATTTAATGTATTAAGATCAGAGAAAGATAACTATAAAAAACAAAAAATGTGATATATATTTAAGAATGAATGGGTCTATACTTTTAAAAAAGATGTAAAAGTGCAAATAAAATAAGGTTTTATTCTATACCAAAGTATATGGAAAGAAATTTATGATAAATTAAGATTAAGAATTATGAATAAGGAAAAAAAAATATAATCTGAGAGTGTACACACAATATTCTTATTAAAATTAATAACGCAAGTTACCAACAGACGGCGACACGCGCCACAACTTGGAATTTGGTTAGGTCGGTTTGGGTTAATTCCGTCAGTGGTAATCGCACTTTGCGTTCAATTATTACGCTATCTTTCCATAGTATCGGCAAGTTTCAGCCAGTGATCGCTGAAAACTGCAATAATTTAGCACAAACGGTGATAGCTGAAAAATGTTGATAAAAGTAAAGGTAATTATGCTGATTCGACAGGCTCGCTACATCGTATTTTACGCCGGTTTGTCATAATATCAATTTTAATTTTGTTTCAGACCCTTACTGGAAAAGAGGCAAGTATCCCAAAATCAAAGGATTTTATAAAATCAAGTGATAGTTACTACGCGATCAGTTGCAATTCAAAATTATACTAATTTTATTATTGCAAGACTTATCTTTTTGTTATGTTGATAACACAAATGATTTAACATAAATTTATCTTAAGTTGCTATATTTTGAGAAATTGAAGATTGAAAGTTAAATTTTTAAACAGTCATCTCTTATAAATTTATGTATAACTAGAATCTCTTATAAATTTTAAAACCTTGATTCATTTGCAATATTATATACATTGGTATCTTTGCAAAATATAGTAATGTTATTGTTATAAATGGATGGAAATAAAATTAAATGTCTCATATTGAGACAATTCTGTTTTATATCAGTCAGAAAATCATTGAGAATCGCAGCTTATTTAAATTATTTTGTTTCTAAGTATAATTATTGTTAATAGAGAGGGGAACATCTCATATTACCTATCGTACAAATTTAATTTTGTTAAATTACTATATTAAATGAATATATACATATTTTTATATGTAGTAATGGCATAATATTTTTAGATTGAAATAGATATAGAGCCTACTGACAAGGTAGAAAGAATTAAAGAAAGAGTGGAAGAGAAGGAAGGAATACCACCACAGCAACAGCGATTAATATTTTCTGGCAAACAGATGTATGTATAAATATTATTACAATATGTATTTCATATATATATATATATATATATATATATATATATATATATACATAATTTTATATGTATTTTTTATACAAAATCAAATTCCTGTAGCTAGACATATATAGAGATGTTACAATGGACATAACAATAACATGATACTCTTTTTCAAACTCTTCGACATACATACTTTGCATCTTTTTATAGTATTGATTTATTTAAATCAAGAAATGATGTTCTTCTATTTTCGTTCTTTTAATGACAATATCTGTTCTCTCAATATACATGCACAGATTTTTTAAATAAAATGTGTGTGTACATATATGTATAATCATATCTTCCATTTTCTGGCATTTTCTTTTAAATAAAAAAGATATACAAATTCAATATTAAGTATGTAAATTTTTTTTATACATTAAATGAATTTTATTTAATGTATAAAAATAATTTTATATGTAAATAAATTTTATTTAAATATAAAATTATTCAGAATTATAATCAGTTAACAACAAATACAACTAATATATTGGAAGATTAATGAATATTGTATTTTTGTATTAGGAATGATGAAAAGACGGCGCAAGATTATAAAGTTCAGGGCGGTTCGGTATTACATTTGGTACTTGCATTGAGAGGAGGCTGCAAATACATTCCTCGTTTATAAATCAATATGAGAAGATATAAAATAAATGAGAGATCAATAGGAAAAGAAAATGGGAAAAAAACATGTTCGTCGTCGGCATCTGCATTCAAAGAGGATTCTATGTTGTTCTATGTGATAGAATAACGTAGAATCTAATTGTGATCTTTATAATCTAAATAAATATTTAATAAAATATAATTTAATCGAAAACTATAAGTGTTTTTATTTTAAAAATTAACTTTTGTGTAATAAAAAATAATATACAAGTTATTTTTTGTTCACTTTCTGATTATTCTTTGTAAATTACATAATCATTTTATTATATTAGAAATATGATTCAACAAAGATTTATGGTTTAAGCTAAAAGAAAAAAAAAGAAACCGTTAATAATGTTCAAACGGTACAATCTGTTATCGATATGATCTAATTATAGCAAAAGTGACATATAAAAAAATAAATATGTATACAAAATGTTAAGTATATAAAACATTACTTTTCTTGTTGACATATTTATCTATTTAATAATTTTGAAAAAAAAGAGACTCGCAAAACTCTATTTGAATCTTACATAATTAAAAATTGCTTTTTTATGATTTTAATAAATATTTTATATTGTTAAATAAAAATTAATTATCAATATACTACTTATATATAAGAAATTGCAATTATTTTTTGTCTTTTAATCTTATTTTTATCTTGTATCTCTAGTCTCTTTACAATTATATAATTTAAAAATCATATATATATATATATATATATATATATATATATATTACTTTGTAAATAAATAATCTTAACAATAGAATGCTTCATCAATATGTTTTTCCTGTATATTTTATTATTAAACTGATAAAAATAAACAGGTCTAAAATTAATTATTTTCAAATAAACAATCAAAATTTAATTTGTATAAACTTAAAGAGAAACAAGCATTTACGCGAAATCAATTTGAAATATTGTTTCGACGACAAGAAAAACAAGATATTCTATAGACACACTGAGAAAAATCCGATGAAAAGGTAACGAACGGATATTATCCAATTATTAACCGATCACTTTAATCGGAAAAAAAAGAAACCAAGCAGATATCCAATCAGAAAATATCAACCGATCGGATCAGAAAGTTAAAAATTCAGAATTTGCCAATCAGATATACGATTAAAGTGATCGGTTAATAATCGGACAATATCCGTTCGTTACTTTTTCACTGGATATTTTTCTCAGTGCAGAAGCAGCGAAACCAAACTACTTATCGATGAAACCATTATCAATTTACCGATACTATACTGGAGGAATATTATGATATGATGTAACATTACAGCCGTATTTCGTGCGAAAATTGGCGATTTTCAGATCAATTTCTGTGGTATCTGCTATTATGCGTTGCCCGGCTCCATTTGGTCTTGAAGACGCGTTGACAAATGTTGCAGTAGACCGCGGAGTTAGACGACTCCTCGTGCTTGGACGTGATGTGCCGCAGAAGTGCGTGTTGCGTCGTAAACGTAACGCCACACTTGTCGCAATACGACGTCGGCGAATGAATGCTCCTGGTCGGTGCCATCTTCAACGACTCTAGAAATGCATTCCTCGGTTTACCTAAATGAACTCTGTGCCTACACAATATTCCAATTCCTTAGATGCAGTACATCAATAAATTCGCGATACATCTCTCGAAGATTACATTTATATCTATCTATTTCTGTTACATATACATTGGATTACAACAATTGAAAAGTAGAGAGTTCTGTCGAATAATATGGGAAAATCTTGTTCCTTCGTCAGTTTCAAGTGTGGGAATTTTTAGAAAGAAATTGTAGATAAATATCACATGATAATATTGAAATTAGAGACTAGAAACCTGTTTCGTTTTTAATGCTGAAATTATTTCACTTCATGATTCGATGTCATCCATTCCAAAATCATTATGCAAATATTTCGTTCGTCAGTCTGCAGTTTTTGCAATACATTAGTAATTTGTTTTGTTCGCTTTTAAAATCATAATGCAAAATGTGAAACATGTATTTCAAAACAATTTCTATTATTTGTTTGTCATAATGAGATTCCATAAAAGTTCTAGCTGATTATCATTATCTTGTGACTTGTGAATTTTTTCCAACTCTCGACACTATCGAAAATTAAAGGCAAACTGCAAACTGCATAATTTTCGTTGAGAAATGACATAACTAAATACGACTAATTGTTATAAATTTTAATTATTATTGATAAATTTTTTCTTTATATTAATATATTTAAAATTGAATCGTAAAATAGATGAAATTAATTGAAAAATGTAAGGGAAAATTTATGAAGAAAAAAATTACAATTCTTTTAAGAGCAATTAATTCATATGGAAATAAAACTCAATATAATGCTAATTAATTATGAAACATCAATTTCCGAGTACACGAATATATCCATCAGAAATTCTTTTATTTACATTACTGCGATAACATCTGAAAGCGTATAGTCTTACACGATCTTTTAATTAAGTTACAAGCTCACAATTACGATACCGAACGTAACACGTACCTGAACGCAATGTTTCGTGCTACTGACAATGTCTGATGATATTTATAGTTAATTTCTAAACTCGCTGCACGATTACACATATCCGCTGTTTTTTTTTTCTACAGAGGATTAACTCATTCGAGCCAAGAAACGGATAACTAATTCATTATTACTCTGAAACACCATATTTTTGGAGATTCTCTTTTGAATAGTATGATAGATTCTTTCGAACAGGGATTTCGAAATGGTATCTTTATCATAAAACTACGTTTCAAAGAGTTAAACAGCTTTTTCGTAGAATAGCTTCTTCGATTTTTCACAAAAGTACAGAATATGGAAGCAGACTCTGCCAATAAATTTCTAGGAGCAACAAAGACCATTTGGAAAACAATTTTCCTAAAAGTATAAAATGCAAAATTTTTATTTAATCATCAAAAATTATATTAGGCGTTTCGCGAAATTATTCAATTTTAAGGATTTCGCGATGCAAGATTGATAATATTAATTTTCCTTAAAAAATTCTTCACCTCGTATGTCTCCATCACTCCTAGAAATTTACAGACAAAATTTTGCATTCGCTGTATAATAAGATTATCCACGTCTACATTATTCTTTGTTAGTACTAAATTCCGTTACATCTCTTTTTCTAAGATGCTAATTACCTGAATCTTTGCATCAAAACGTTTTTTTTTAACGTCACAAACACTATGCAGACAGAATCATATTTCGTACATTTCTCGTATGAACGAAGATTTCCTCCTTCATTTTGCTGCAATTCGCAATTTATACTTCACGTTATGCGTTAATCTCAGCAATTTTTTATTTTTATCGATTTTATTTTTATCTCTGTTTATCTTTGCTTTATCGTATCAAGACTATGACACTTTTCCGTTTCAGGATTTTTTCTTGAGATTCATCTTGATTCTTTATGTATTTCATCTTTCTCGTGCATCCTGCACAATTTTTTTATTTTTGAAATACATATCGCGATTTATCTGTCGCAGAGATGCTTAAATTTTGTCTTGTCACTTCTAAAAAGATATGTTTGAACGTATTTATGTGTATTTTCTTTTATTATTCTATATCTTTCTCTTTTACTGTTGTACGGATAGAATATTGCTTTATGATACCAAGCACAGCTTATAGAGAGCACAGCTCTTCTACACGTAAAAAATTAATATTTTCTTATATAATTTCTCTGCAAAGGAAACATAAAATTAAACCATTAGTGTAACACTTCTCAATAGAATTATGATTAATTTCGCAAAGTTTGAGAATCCCTGATACAGTTTCGCCGCGATAGCCACGTATGGCTAAAAATACTTGTACACTCTTTCACGGCGTGACGTTGTATTAACCCATTAAGCACCAACCATTATCGCGGAAATTGCAACATCGTCTTATCTAAATTGTTTGGTTTAAGATGTTAGAAATGTGTGATTAACTGTATTCCACAGCGCGATCCTCTAAAATGGCATTTAATGAGTTAAAATTCGTGAGGCATTCGTTCTAGAGACGCACGGTCGAAACGCGCATTCCCGTGCTACGACCAACAACTACAATAATTACGATCACTTACATCTACGAGTAAATAGTCAGGTGCGCAAAGTGCGATGTCACTCTTAAAAACAAAACGAAATGCGAACGTACGCACGTATGCGTCGTATACATACTCGCGATTATTGTACTACTTGTTGCATAACACTCTTGAATGCGCTCGCTAAAATAAGGTATCCCCGCTTGCGAAATCGCTCCCGTGTGTATGTGTAGATTACTTATTTAATAACAACAATAACGGTAACGGTGACGTCTTATATTCTGTCTTTGGATACATATGACACAGTTCGCAAACAAATCGAAATCAGCGTTTCTCTAACATTAAATTATATATAATATTAATCTCTTATCTTATGTAGAGCATATTTAATCGTATTAAAAAGTATAATCTCGCTCAAAAATAAATATTTCGCGATTTTTAATGTCGTATACTTCCTATATATCACGCTGAATAATTGAAATATAAAAATTTATAATATGGATTTTCGAACATTTATATATTCATATATAAATAATATATAAATTACAATTTAAATTAGGAATTTTATGTTCCAATTAAAAAATTATAATAAATATATATAGCAAGTTTGATAAATATCGCGATTAACTCTATATCTTCATTTGATTTGTTTATTATTTAAGCATTAAGCATTATTTAAATATTAAGATATAAGAGTCTTCATGATACTGAGAAACGCTGCTCTCGCACTTTCATACAGAGACAATGTTTACACGAGGCCAGTAACAAAATTAACGGCTATTTTCCGGATGCTCCGCATCGTTAGATATATTCTTGTCTATGGTAAATATCTGAAGAAGTCAATACGTAAAATATAAAACCAGGTATTTATGTAAGGCACTGTCTATGCGCTGTCTCGACAGCTGAAGCTGAGGCTCGATGTACGCTTAAAAATTTCATATTATCGAGAGCTACGTCTCATTCAGTGCTCTGTCAGAAAATCTTATCGTTTTTTTATTTTTAATTGAGAGAGGATGATCTTTTGCATAGTTGTGTTTTGCGTAAATTACGCAAAATTGTAATTAATAGAATGACAGAATCGATTCGGATGCGAAAGATCACGCTGTCAATCGAATAAATCTTTCTAAGC